GGCGAGGCGGAGCCCACCCCCAGAGGTCGTGCGAGGCGGAGCATGAACCCAAGGGTCGGGCGAGGTGGAGCCCGCAGGCGTGGTGTCGGGCGAGGTGGAGCCCGCCCCTAGAGGTCGGGCGAGGCGGAGCGCAAACCCAAGGGTCGGGCGAGCAGAGCCCGCGGCCTTGGGGTCGGACGAGGTGGAGCCTGTGGCCTTGGGGTCGGGTGAGGCGGAGCACGGACCCAAGGGTCGAGCGAGGCAGAGCCTGCAGCCTCGGGGTCAGGCGAGGCGGAGCCCGCCCCCAGAGGTCGAGCGAGACAGAGCGCAAACCCAAGGGTCGGGCGAGCGGTGCTCGCGGTCTTGGGGTCGGCCGAGGCGGAGTCCATGGCCTCGGGGTCGTGTGAGGCGGAACTTGCGTGCCTGGGGTCGGTTGGAGCTGTAGTCGCGCTTTTGACTGCTCGGATGAGTCAATGTTGATGGTCATTAGCTCCTCCTCATCGGGTACCCTAGTATTGGTCCCCAACAGTCGCTGTCTTGTTTTTAGAGAAACTATGAAGGAAGGTAGAGAGGAGAAGGACTGGGCTGGTAGGCCAGGAAACGCGGCGTCCAGACAGACGGACGCCCGCACCACAACATTTCCGTTTTAAAATAGTCTTATCATAGAGCATCTACATAAGTCTTTCTATCTAAATTTGGAGAGCCATCTATATAAAAATTGCTTTCTATATGTTTTCATTCTCCAACCGTTTTTCTATATTTTGTGTATACTTAAGAGAGCCATTTTCGCTATTTATCTTTGGCTAGTGAGAAATCTGAAATAAAAGATGGCTATATTTGGATAACCACTTAGGAAGCGGTTGAAGAGTAATTTTTCATCAAAATCTCCCATCCTAAAAATAAAAAAGGATAATGAGTCTCTTGGGGTTGCTCTTAGGTTAGAATTATATTTTCTATCATATTAATAAGTAAAGCATTAAAAGTTATTTTTGGTTTTTTTGCCATGTTGCCTTCCTTTTTCTCTCTTTTCTAAGGGAAAATAGCAACACTGCTCATTTATTTAAGAAGGAAGCAAACCGAATTTTACATAAGTGAATAGTACATAAGAAATTAATGTATTGTTTTCTGTCATGTTATCTTCGGTCTCTCTTTTCTTGTTAAAAAAAAGTAGGAGCACATAGTGTGTTTGATCTCATATTTTAGGCCACGTGCATCCTAAAGGCATTGTTGGCTGTGTTTTCTATCCTCAACTTTGCACGAGAATCCTTATACAAGAATCTTACAGGGTGTGTTTGGTTGTTTGCACAAGGCTTATGATGTAAAATTATTTTCTTGTTTAGTTGCCCATATAGGATCTTATGCATGTTTATTGTCTCCAACAAGGAACCCATATGGGCATCCAAACCTAAAATGAGTAGTAAGAGATTCAAAATCAACCTCCAACAGAGTAACTATACGGGAGACTTATTTTGTGTTACCTGAGAGGCACAACCCAAATATGGGCATCCTCTATCCTGAAAACCCATTTGCAGAAAATATTCTTTTTTGGGTTTTGTTGTTGAGAAAATGCTGAATAGATATTCAACCTTTTGCCTATACCGCTATCCAAAGGACGAATGTGTCTTGTATTTTAGATGTTGTTGTTAGAAATAGTCTTACAGCACGCTAAGATTGCATTAGCTAGTACTCAAGGTGTTGTCATATTAGAACTTGAAGGTATCTACAGGTACTACAATACAATGTAACCAAACATAAGTTTACTAAATGCAACGTGCATATAGAAAACAATCGATATATGCTTCAACATAGGAAAAATCTAGGTAGGGGTGGGGGGAGAATCTCCACCAGGATTTTTTTTTTCATTAAAAAAAGGATAGGTACATAATTCTTTCATCCGGGAGCATTACACAAGATTAGTTTGGTTAATGTGATATTTTTTCCAAAATATATAATCTAACATGCATATACAGTAGATATTAATATGCCTACATCTTAGTGTATATATATAGGTTATTATATTATTAGTTTTTTTTATTGTAATTATATTAGAGCAAGGCTAATAATATAGCCGGCTGCTGGCTATAAGAATCCTTACAGCCCATCAGCTCTTTACTATTAATATATAATCTACTTGTCTCTCTCATAAAATTTAGTTTATGTGACTATGCCAACTGTAAGTTTACAACCCGCTTCGCCTCTCTCTCTCCTCCTCTCTTCTCCACCTCAGTATTCAGCCTATTATTATATTGGCTCTTGTTAGAGCAAGTATAATAACAGACTCTAAGCTGGCTAAATGTTGAGATGGTGGAAAAGATGAGAGAAGAGAGAAGAGAGAAGAGAAGTGAGCTATAAGTTTACATTCGGCTTAGGCATAAGAATAAAATTTTTTTATAAAAAAGACATGTGGGTCATATATTAATAATAAATGACTAACTAGGATAGGTAGAAAGAAGGCTACAATGAATCATCCAGCAGCCGAACGTAATTATTAGACTCGCTTTTAGTTGGTTCATTCATCAAACCAAGCACCGAGCATGTGTTCTGATGCACAGGAGTATGTCCTGACGTTTCTCGTGTTGAGGGCCGAGCTCGCCGCTGGAATCTGGATCTGGTGGCGGCGGAGTGCACGAGGTGAAGGTCACTTTTTTTTCCCCGGACTACAGGTGCCACCGGGAACAATCAACAATGGCAAGCACTTGAGATCCGACGGTGGTTTAATTTGGACGGTTAAGGAGCCGTTTGGTTCCGCTTAAAGTTTAGTGACCCTATGTTTGGTTATAGTGACTAAAGATCACTAAAATAGTTATCTCATATACACTTTAGTCACTTTTAGTTACTCATGTGACTAAAAGTCACTCAACTTTAGTGGCTCTAAACTTTAATAAAAGTGTTTAGCATTTTAGCCACTAAAAGTGGCTTAAACTTTAGTCACTAAACTTTAGAAAAGGTGAATCAAATAGGCCCAGTTTGTAATTTTTTTAATCATCCAAGTTCAATTTGCATCACCGAGCAGAGCATGGCGACTCTCATCTCACACCATGGTTATTATGCGATCTCCATCTGAAATCTGAATCAGACAACGGTTCAACGTTTTTTTCTTCAAATCAAGTAGTGCTAAAAAGAAATTCACAATGAACGGAAAAGAAAAGAACACCGGCAATATTTCATTACATCATGGTCTTTATTCCATCCCCCCATAAATAAATAGGTTATATAGGTCGGACGTCATCTACTGAATCAATCAATGGCGGGTCTAGAAACGTTTAGAGCTCCTCTTTGCTCACTTCCATGTCTGTAAAAATTAAGATGAGCTAAAGAAGGGGCTCTATTGTCGTGGAAGCGGTAGAGGGAGCTTGAACCCATCCCACCACTAGATCCACCCTTGAAAACTATGAAAATAGATTCAAAATTTTGGATCCTTCTCCTAATTTGTTTCCAAGGAGACGAATATCTATTTTCTAATATTAAAGAGCAAAACACTTCTTCCAATTCATTTTTTAAACTCCAAACATACTCTCGTTTTGGTACGTCCACTCGTGTTCTTTTTTCACTTTTTTCATTTCTTGTTTTTCTTTTTTGTTCTGCCCGTGCACCTAGTTTTTGAGCGATCGTTATTTTCTTTTTCCTTTTTCATTTTCTTTTATTGTTTTTTCTTGTTAGCCCCATGACTTTTTTCTATTTTTTTTGTTTTTTTCTAGGTCTGTTTGATCTCTCCTCTAGAGTTCTAAAAGCTTTAGAACACTTTAGCTCACTTTTGAGCTCTAAAGCTCTAATATGAGGTGAGCTAAAGTTTAGAGCTTTAGACCAATTATTTGGAGCTTTAGCTCTAAAGTTTAAAGCTCTAAAGTTTATAGAAGGAAATTCAAATAGGCCCTTAATGCTGTTTAGTATGAACATAGACTATTTAGTATGTCCTCCGACGCTTCTATGTAGTCCGGACGATCAACATCAACTAATTCTAATAGATAACAAGACCTTCTAATAGCAAAAACAACTAAAATGAATCATCAAGATTAAAAATATTTCAATCTAGGCATCATATGATAGAGCATGATTTTCTTAAAAGAAACTGAAACTAGTCTCATAATTTTTTCAGCTACAAAAAATTCTATGAATTTTCAAATATTAAACCAAATTTTAGGATTTTTAATTGCATTATTTTTTCATGTAAAAAATATTTGGATAAATTTTTGAAGAATTATTTTTTATGAATTTTAGATAGTTTCTTAAATTTGTTGCTATATGATTCACCTTCCTAAATTTTCAACTTGATTTATTACTCGCGTTATGGTTGACGTGACGACACATAGGACCGCTGATGTGGTGCCAGGTCTTTAAAAAATCATCATCAAAACCGTCTAGAGTGTAAATAAAAACAAATAATTTTAAAAGTTCAGGAGGGAACGGTTTTGCAGATGACTATAGAAAATCGGAGAAAGGTGAGGGGATACTTTTTCCACGGATAAAAGACATCGATGGCAGGCATAGGCCAATTCCTATGGCCCAAGACATTTAGCTGTCATGGACAGCCCAATTCTGGTCTTCCTGGAGTGGGCCAAGCTCCTCCTCAATCGTAGGCCTAGCATTAGAAAGTGTGAGCTGTTCTAATTTTTTTTAATAATCATTATTGCAAATTCCAATACAAAACAATAATGTACCAAATCAGGGCTTTGCTCATTTGGATATGACTAAAGTGCAAACTGTTCCCCTATCAACATAAAACAATTTAGCCATATATCAAAATGTGGAAAGCCCTAATTAATTTGGTAAATTATTGACATCAGACATTCATGCAACTTCTGCAACAAATTGTAAAATTTGAGGCATAGTTTTTTTTAGTTAGAGAACAGCGGACACAAGGAAATGGATAAATCAAGTTATTATAGATCAGTAAAATGAGGTAATAAATTCATTGTGCAAACAGAAGAAAACACATTGGATTTTCGTCGCTCAAGAAAGAGAGAGAGAGAGAGAGAGAAGAAACAAGGAATAAGAAGGATGAAGCTAAGTATCTAGCTAGTTTACACATCAACACCAAGCAACTTCCTCCCAACCCCATTGTTGGTGGCGGCATGGCCGGCACCAGGGCTGTGTCCAGGATCCGTCGCTCGGGTGTCCTCTCCGAGGACGCCACCACCGGCTGCGCCGCCACTCCCGGTGCCGTCCGGCGAGATTGTGCCTGGGGTCATCGTCCCCTTGGTGTCCCCATCGGAATGTGACAGCAAGTTAAGCCTCCTCTGCATCATCGTGAGAGGTTCGCCTTGAGAGTACATGATATGGTTAGAGGAGACGAGGATTATGAGCACCAGGATGAGGGCTACTTTGCTAACCTTACAGAAGACCATGGTTTACAAAGCTTAGCTACCTAGCTAGAGAAAGCAGGGCCAACAATGGCTGGTGATGAGCTCCTAGAATGAGCTAATGGTGAGCTCTGGTGTGGCTGATGATGTGATGTGTGAGCTCAGTTTTTTTGCTATTTATAGCATCGTACCAGATACACTGAAGGTGTGCCGACTAGAGCTGCAGTATTATATATTATATAGAACATAACTACGGAGCCACCTTTATTAGCTTGGCACATGTGCATGGTGGGCACAAAGTATTCGTATTTGATTAAGTGGATTAATAATCAGATAACAACACTAAACTCCTCGCTCTTTTGCAAGCTTATATGTATAAGGACATGGAGGAGGTGAAGGACCACAAGTAGTACTCGTGCACTAACTGTAACATGTTTGTTAAAAAGTACGGACTATACCTCGCAAAAGCGCTCCTAAATCAAGCTATTAATATTACATGAAGAATGATGATAGAACGCTTAATTCCATCTTGTGCATGTAGGACATATATAACCATGATGAAAGACTTGGATGAACCTAGCTTGAGATTATGGGAACATGAGATCATCAGCCTGTTCGTTTGTTGGTTTCAGCCAGAGCTTATCAGCCAGCCAACAGTATTTTTCTCTCACAACAAACCAGCACCAGCTAGGACTTATCAGCCCAGAAACCAACTAGTGAACAGCCTCCGTATATATCCCCAAGAATGAACGTTAGTATGTTGAATGACCGAAATGTTCCAGCTTGACCAGAGTTGGACGACATCCAGCTGCCATTTATCAATTATGTACCCGCGTTTTTTAAAATTGCAAATTCTGCTCCTACTTCGCAAAGTACAACATGGAATCCTAGCCTTGATGATCCTCCATTTATGTTTGTCGTTAGCCTTAACATTGTGCTTGCTTGTCATTATTATGTTACAGATTAATTCTATACTTCTTAATAATATAACCCAAACTCAAAAGCATACCCAGAGACCCACCACGTACAACAGTGCTGGTAACAGCTACATTGCCGACAAAGCTGCCGTGCAGCACTCATCAGTTATATATCTGCATGATAATTTAATATAATAGAGATATACGACTCTTTCGTATAAGAAACCTCGATGGACATACTTTAATGGTTAACTAGAGAAAAGCACACTATTACGTAATTTCTCAAATCAAAGTAAAGCTAGCGAGCAATTAAGATAGTGGCATCATTTGTAATATCCTTGAAGATGTAACACTAGAGATCATTCCTCTTTCTATAGATAAATGGAGCTTTATTTTGAGATGAAATATATGTTATCGCGGTCTCTGCACTCAAATGGTGTATAGCCAAATAGCCAATACAATACAAATGCAAAAAGATAAAAGAAAGAAAGAAAGAAGAAATTAAGAGATTCAGTGTGCTTTAATCAGCACAGCATAGTATATGGGCTTGTCCCATATTTTACTCAACTAAATCAAATAAATCCTAGGCCCATATTTTAAATATAGCTTTAGTATTACTCCCTCCGTCCCAGTATATAAGGCGTAACCACCTTCAGTTCAAAGACCAAGAAACACATTTAATTCTCTCTATCAACACTAGTATTACTGCATCGATGCATGTGCCTCTAGAGATACCACGCCTTATATTATGGGACACAAATAAAAAGTGATTACGCCTTATATATTGGGATGGAGGGAGTATATAGAATTTTAACTATATGTTGACTCAACTTAAATAGGTCAACTTAAAAAATGCATAATTTAGATGGCATGCGTCGTGGGGTCGAAACTATAAGGAAAATGGACCCTTGGCCCATTTAGTTTGGATTTTGGTGTTTAATGAATAACATGACCATTTAGACTAATGTTGTTTGCTAGAATACAAGGTATAGTTCAAATAGATGCAATATGGACTTTGACTTAGGCAACGAGGTGATCCGAATGATCAACACCTAAAGCAAGACATTAGAAGCTTTTTTGAAGACCTACAAAACATGCTAGAAATCAAAGAAACCAAGAAGTAGAAGCGCGGACACAAATAGACAAACAAAGTTGAAGCCACTCAAGACGAGACAATGAGGTGAATGAATTGAAATTGCCTCATGATTTTGGATCTTCTCAAATTGACATGACACCAGCTCAAAGCTATAGAGCTCTTCATTATCTTTCCAAAAAGTCCAAGATCACCAAAATCGAAGTTCAGAGCTAAAAGTTACGCCCAAAATATGGAGGTGTGTCTGTGCTGAAAATGGAGCGTCGGACGGTCCGACGCCCCTATCTTTGGTCCGACGCTCTCTGAACCGAAGTGAACAGTGGCACCATATAGTCCGACGCTCACCTAATGGTCCAATGCTCCCAGAATTGCTAGTTTCAACGGTAATCTACACAAAGCATCGGACTCTGATGCAATGGTCAGACGGTCCATCAAAGTACGGTCCAACGGTCCGCAGAAAGGGTGATCTTGTCCCCAATGGCCATATTTTTGCTTGGGGCTATAAATAGGACCTCAAACCGGGACAAATGAGGCGTGGAGGAGTGAGGAAACATACCAAGAGTGTTGCTACACCATCTTATTGCTCTCCACATGCATAGTGCTTAGTGATACACTCGGTGACTAGCGTAGGTGCTTTGCGAAGTGCTTAGGTTAGTTATACCACGCTCATGTGCGCTTGCTCTAGGTTTAGGCCTAGTGTTTTGTAACACCCCAGGCGTCACAAAAGCCCAGGATGTCACTAACATCCCTTCCCTCATGCCAGAGTATAAAACTTGGCAACGAAACCTATCATCAAAGTAAAATGCGGAAGCAACAGCGCCAACAAAACTATGATTAAGATATATTCCATTGTAAAAGTTATTATTAAACCACAAATGGTCACCAAGCTAGTTAATTCTAAGTTTATTACATCAAGTTATAAACATCGTTATTCACTCTAAATGTGGGTGAAAACTTGAAGATGTGCCGCTAATCCCATCCCTTCAAGCAAAGCATCCAAATCAATCAGCTGGAAAGATAATGGGGTGAGAATAAATCTCAGCTAGCAAACTGCCTGAACATGTCATTCAAACTACAAGTTCATTATACATCAATTTTTTTTAAAAAAATACATGTCATACTAAATAAAGGTTCATGATAAGAATATTTATCCATTGAAATTTCCATAAATAAGCATGTAATGAGCATGATATATAATAAATAAACAATATCCACATATGAATAAAATAATACTCCTTATATAAACAAAAACAGTGCTCCTCATATCCAGTTATGCCAATATGGAACTTCAATATAAATAAACCTCAAAGAGTGCAATGCAATGCATATGCATGTCCACTGCCTCCATACCCAACAAGGTATGCAGCTACATCGTACCCCTCCTCGGGCAATGTACGATGCTGTACTGGTACGGTCGCGACCAGGAAGCGGCGACATAATCCACAAGAGCACTCCGGAATAGTCATATAACTTTCTCACCGACCTGGCTCTAGAGCACTTCAGAAAAGTTATATGACTTTCTCACCGACCTGGCTCGATGCATATGCTCATGACAAAAATGCTCATGATGTAATGATATGATGTAACTACAAGTATACTTACCTCATCCGCCATATACATCCACAACCATAAAACATATCACTTACCTTCCGATGATAGACAAATTCTTACCACATATGTTATATACCTCCACAATAATAAAATATATATCACTTACCTCAAGAGGGTAAACAAATGACAAGATTCAACATGAAGATCATATATAAATTACTTTAAAGGATAAGTGAATTCATACTTAGATATATTATCTTGATTTAGTTAATGTCATGATACAGTGTAGGTAGATTAAATAACATGTCAAGTTGTAGCAAACCATCGCTACGTTTACTTGCCTCGAAATGGCAATGCCATAACATGAGCTAAGAACAATCCAAAGCTGCACCACCTATACAAACATCATTACCTCAGACAACATACCCATGAAAACATACAATAACACACAACCACTTCTACGACCTGCGCCATCGTTTCCGTCAAAACAGCTACCAAGACAACCAATCAACTACAACAACCTTGCTTCACATTTTTACTTCAGACAAACCACTTGTCTAAAAAATATAAAACTTTCTCTGAATATACAAAACAACATTACCTACAACTTTCATGTTATAACTTTTGGATTTTAAGTATCCTAAGATACCCAAAACAAGCCAGCAATATAACTAAACTTTTCTGACAACAGAAAACTAGCAGCTGAATAAAACATGCATAACCGGAGATATATATATATATCCAAAATTTATGATCTTTAACATTCTAGAAAGCCTACAAAATTATGAACAACTTTGATGTAGATTATTTCACGATATTATGAACTTAAGGTATCGTAAAACTGAATGCATCTAAAACTGTTTAGAAATTGGACAGCACAACTGTTTCATCAAACAATGATTACATCTCCCAATATAGAGGGGCTATGAAGGTGATATTTACACCAAAAGAAAGGTATTGAAGTCTACTAAAGATATATAATTTTTCTAGGATTTTTGAGCACACAAAGAAAGCCTTAAACATCATATAAACCAGAACAACATAATCTGAAAACAGCGAGTTTAATTACAAGATTAAAACCCTTACCCCGTCAACTAATCAAACGAATTCGCCAAACCCTAGCATAGATTTCACATTGAAACAGTGGGGAAAGCATAATCTTACCCTAAACAACGAGTATGACAAAGATATGCTACGGACAATCTCTCGTATCCGATCCTCACCGCTACACCTTTTGTCGTCTCGATCTATGTCCAACGCAACATCACCACCACGAACAGCCTGGAAAAACATGGGATTGAGGGGAAGACAAGAAGAGGATGTCTAACCGGTTTTAGATGAGGAATAGAGACGGCTACGAACATCGGTCAAACCCTTCCTCTCGTCTCTCCTCTCTTCTCCTCTGCCCTTCTCTTCTCTCCTCTCTTCTTCTCCTCCCTTCTCTCCCCCCTTCTTCTTTTCTTCTCCTGAACATGAACAACCAG